TTTTTGTTTTACTGTAGTCCATTTTTAAGCCTCCCGCTCCTGAAACTGCATCTAATTGTTGTAACATATCATTTAGTTCTTGGATATTATCAGCTAATAAAACTATGTAATCTGCGAATCTTAAGTGGTTTAAGTATGATCCATCGACGTTGATACACATGTTGTTCCATTCTAGTTTCTTAAAATGTCTTCTAGAGCAAGGGTAAATAGTTTGGTAGAGATGGTGTATCCTTGTTTTACTTCCCGTTGTAGTCTTATGGGATTAGTTTTTGTGCTTTCGTCTAGCTTTATCTGCATAGTGGCATTTTTATATATATTTTTAATTATGTTAGTGTATCTTGAATCAACACGTGCATTTTCTAGAAAGTCAAGCACTGCCCATAATTCGATGCAATCGAATACTTCATGAAAATCGACGAACGCTATATGAATTGAAACATTATACTCGGTGAATTTTTTTATTAGTGTTCTTACGGTGTGCAAGTGGTCTATAGTACTAAAATGTTTTCTGAATCTAGCCTGCTCGATAGGTTGATAGAAATTGAACTTATGTGTTAGGCGGTTGGCTATAATTTTATATAGTAATTTATGCTAAGGATGTTGGTCGGTAATTCTCGATGTTTGCTTTGTCTCCTTTCTTGAGTAGTAGAATGACTTCCGAGTTGTACCATTCTGGAGGAATCTTTTCTTCAAACTACTTTAATAAATAAAATATTAATTATAGGTTACATTTTTCTGCACCAATTTTTAACATATTAACTGTAATTGTATCCTCTCCCAAACGTTTATTCGTTTTTAGTTAGGGTCATTCCTATTTCATAGTCGGTTATGTCCGGTATTTCTTCTGAGCCGGTGTTAATTATTGTTGGCTCAGTACATAAATGTGGTTGTGTATTTACCGAATATAATTTAGTCTAGAATTTTTCAATGGCCTCGCTTATTTCCTTTCTGTCTCGGACGGTGATGTTTTTCTCATTTTGGGATGTCGCTTGAGTTTTTTGCTTTCAGTACTTTCATATTGCAGTTATCTTGTATTATATATTTTCTTAGATTGTTAGTATAGTTTTTATGATCGTTCCTAATATCTTTCTTTGCGTTTTTGTTTAAGTTTTTGAAGCTGTCTGAGGTTCGATCTGTTCTGTTTCGTCTTTCTTGGAGTAATTTAATTGTATTAGATTGGAGTTAAAATGTTTAGGCTGTTTTCCTGTTTGAGCATATTTTCTTAACCGATGTTGTTACAGTTACTTTTGTTTTAGTGGCTAGTCCGTTTATATCCATTTGTTTCAGTGTCGCTATTGATTTTAGTTTTGTGCTTAGGTCTTTTTGGTATGCCGTTTGTTTTTGAAACAGGACACCGGTGGTTGGGTATCGTTCTCGTTTAATAAGTTTGTTTCGTTCTACTTTGGTCTGTATTTTAATATTCGCTTTAACCAATCTATGGTTACTCACGGTATATAATTTATTTAGTACTGTCAGGTCGGTGCATATGTTTTTTTTTATTGGAGATTATGTAGTCTATAGCAACTAATAGCAACACGTCTCAAATACTTTTTGTGTATCTATTTGCTAAATAGTTTACAATACCTCGCAAATCGCTTAACTTATTTTTTATTTTTAAATATTTACATTTATTTAAAAAAAATACAAGTTGCCCCAAATATATTTTTTGTAATAAAATTTTTTATAGTTCATGATTTTTAAAGGAGTTATTTAATGGTCTCTCCACTCTCCAGCAGGTCTGCTTTTCTGTATTAGGATATAATGGAAGAAGTACCTAAATATATATATATATATATATATATATATATATATATATATATATATATTGCTATGATGGTTTGTTATATATAGATATATATATATATATATATATATATATATATATATATATCTATATATATATATATATATATATATATTGCTATGATGCTTTGTTTGTGTATGAGCAATGAGTATTTTAAAATAACATATATAAGTATAGGGTTTTTATCGCGGTTCTTAAAGAATTAGTTTGTAAGTACTTTTTTAAATTATCTTTATAACAATTATTATGAAACACACATATATATCTAATATAGACAATATAAATTTAGAAGAACCTAGCTTAAAATTAAAATTCTTACAATAATTAAATTATATTAACAAAATTTGGTACCTTTCTGTCACTGAATGCCTAAATGAAACTTTTTCCAATTTCTTTTTACAAATACACCACAATGCTTTAATTATCAGCTCCCACCATTTTAAAATAGTTTTCTTCTCAATAGCATTTATAAATCCGCAAAATATTCTTCTTTATTTTTGCTTTCTTGTTTATTCTTCTTGGTAATACTCTTATTTTTTCTTCTTTCAATCTCCAATCACGATATAAATATTATAATTTTAATTTCTTTTAATCTCGATATACATAATATAATTTTTAATCTCCAACTAATACTCTCTTGATACTATTTTTTCAATCTATGTCTTCCGTATACTGACTTGACCATACTGACTGACTAACTAATTAACTAATAATCTAACTAATAATGAATTATCATGCTCTCCTTTATATTCATACACTAATACTGACCATACTCACTAATGACTAATCAACTAATAATCCATCTCCTCAAAATCACCAAGTATTTATATCATTTCTATGTTCTCTCGAATCATCCTGAAAGAATTCATATTCCAATCCTTCTATTTCATAGATATTTGAATATTCTCGAATATTCTACTACGCAAAGAAAGTTAACTTTCTTCTATTGGCGTCTTATTTGAATGTTCTAGAGAACTCTTAATTTTTCTATGGAGAATTTTATGGAAATTTAGGCTTTCAGATTAGAATGTAAACTTTTATATAAATTAAACAACTTAAATTAATAAATAACTCTATTTTAAATCCGTAATTATCATTTTAAATATCTACTTTCTGTTCAAATTCACTCTTATTGACAAATGTCATAATAACCCAAACTCACTTCCAGTGTATATTTGGTTGCCTATAAATATGGTGCACTTAAGTATATCACAATTATTAAAATAAAACTTTTTTGAAGTAAATTTAGTTGCCTATTTAAATGGTGTACTTAAATATATTTATAATATCATAATTATTAAAACAACCAAATACATTGCAAAACAAAAACTATTTGAATTTATTATTATGCTAATTTCTTAAGAATGTCCTCATATAAATAATTTTTATAATATTCTCTAGTATATAACTTATAAATTATTTATTTAATCACTATTTAACTTCAATTTAGATTACCTTCGTTTCTCCTATATTTAGTATTATCTCAGTACCCCAAAATTAATTTAAAAAAAAATAATTCATTTATAATTTTTTTTTAAATATTAATTTTCTTATCCATACACATTCGTCAATATAATAATTAAATGATTATGTAATTTAAATTTCTTTTTTAAAATTGCTCTAATAAGTACGCCTATGTTCCCTGTCTATGTTAAACTGTCATATCAATTGGAAGCTATTGTGTTTACAAAGAAAATAAATAATCAGCCTCTAATTTGGTGTTTATTAATAGACAAGATTTAGGAAACCATTCCTTGTCCTTCTTTCCGTTTAAAAGACTCTTATTAATATAAATGGTAAGTTTTAAACTTTTTATATTATTTTTAGAAAGACATTTACATAATTAATTTTAAACCTAACCCTAATTAAAATTATGGTTTTTAGGGCACAAACAAAGGATGAGATCAACACCTGCTCAGAAATAACAAAAGCATGATGTCAAATTGATACATTATTCCACAATAATGAAATGTATCATCTGTCTTTCTCAACAAATCAAGTCTGTCTAATGAAATGAATCTATCAGTGATTTAATTTAGTGAACTGTTTCTGGTGTTATTATTTACTGTTATTAATGTTAAAAGTATAGAAGACATTATTCAATCTCTTCATGATATTAAAAAAACATTAATATGAAATATCCCTCCCAGTTTATTATCTGCATCTATCAACACGTAACTGTTTTGTCCATTCTAATTGTTGACCTTCAAACATCGGTTGTAATTTTTTACAACGGTTTTCTCTCAAATTCCCGTTTCTTAGTCAACGAAATAAAACTCTATCTCCTTTTTGAAATGTGATTGGTTTTTTAATTGTTCGATTTTGTTTTCTGATATATTTTTCACATTTCCTCATAATTCTCATGTTCACTTTCTGCATTAATTATTCTAAAATATCTTGGTTATATTCACTAATCCGTTATCTGTTTCCTATATGACCAAACATTAAATATTCTTTTACTTCCTCTGTGTTTTGTATACACTACTTTCTCTATATATTACTTCCTCTGTACTCTGTATTTAAATTATGTGTATTATTTAAAAAATATTCAATTGGTTTCAAATGTTGCCATGTCCCATGTTGATCCTGGCAGACTATCCTTAAATATTTTATAACTTCTTTAATATATCTTTCTGCAGGATTTGCTTGAGGATTTCTGATACTTTTAAAATTAATGTTGATCCCCTTTTTTTCAGTGCTGTTAATTTTTTACCCGAACAAAATTATAACAAAATTGCAGCTTTTTGTCACCCATGTATATCAGTTAGTATTTACTTTTAAACAAAAGTTAACATATAGGTCAAAAAAATAAGAATAAGAATATTTTTTATTTTTGTTTTATTAAATTATTTTTTACTGAATTTTTATACACTTGTTTCCCAATAAAATCCAAGAATAAAGAGATATGTTGTTTTCTCAATAAATGAGAAAACAAGTTTTCTCATTTAATTGTAGAATACTATGTACCATATTTGCCGTGATTCATGGTGTAAAAGATGTGTCTGTATTTTGCTGATACCTATGTTTTAAATATTTGGTGAAATCAGTCCTGTTTATCTCAGAAATGTTAAATACTATACAGAATTTTATAAATCACCAGTGGCGATTAAAGCAATATACAAATTTAAATATTGCCAAATTTAATCGTAATATTTGCCAAAATTTAATCCAAGTACATAAAAGTTTTACTACTTACCCTTCCATTATCAAAATCTCTGCCTACACCAATTGTTAGTCTCGCCTTTGCTTTCATGGCGTCACTAAGGGGTATTTTAGCTCTTTTTGCTTCTGAATGTGATTTGTAGCAGAATTCCAATAATGCTACCGCCATAGCTATAAAGAGACCAGCTATCAAGATGTAGAATATTCCAGCGACATTGCTCAATGACAACTCATTGCGAGATGTATCCTGAAGTAATAAACAAGAGTTAATACAATATTCTGTTTTCTAAGGTTATGTATAATAATTAAAATTATAAAAAATTATATTAATTTTTTATCGAAGAAAATAATAGTTATTTATGTACCAATGGTATTAAATAGATGTTTATGCTTAGAGGGCGATAATGTTACAAAGCCAAGGGCCTCTGGCCCAAGGGTTTGTAAGTCGCCCGATGGCATATACATCTATTAATACCTGTGGTGCATGTAAACTTTTATGCCACACTAGTTCGTTATTACAACTACAAATAAATGTGTTTAAAGAAATCCGAAAATTTAATTTCATTTTAACAATATATTTACTTGTAGACATTCTATCGTCCATGTTATGTTGCTACGCTATACGCAAACATATCAAACTAAAACCGTGAAAATGCAAGATATTGTTGAGATCCCGAACCAAATTTTAAAAAAAGCGGAAAAAGCAACGCAAAACTTACTACCGCATAAGTCGAGATATGCGTACGACAAGAAATATGAAAAATTACAGCACAATGTTTCTAATAAGTTATCTTTTTGTTTGTATCTTTACGCCCTTGTGAACCATAAAGTACACTATTGTGTAGTTGGTAACTAAGCAATAAAAACACAATAATAAACTAGTATGACATAAAAATATGAAAAAATACATTTAATGACTTTTAAGTTGGCTGATACTGCATGTTACATATGGTAAATCTACTAGTTCCACGGTAATAAATCATCTGATTCATAGAAAACTATTTTGGAATTAAGCCTATTAAAATCATATTATTGCGTACAAATTTGTATTGAAATCACATAATTAAAAAATAAACTTTTAATTTTATATTAAAAACTGTTTAATATTTTTTTTATAATATTTAAATTTACAGTGTGAATAGTTGTTTTACATTGACACTGCAAATCTTACCTAAGCACAAAAAGAATATATTTGAATTTACGGGGAAATAAATTTTTTTAAATAAATAAAAAGTAAACAAACACAAATTCTTTAGTAGTCCGTTCCCACTAGTCAGCACAGGCCACTCAAGAAAAATATCTTAACAGTTTTTCTACTGCTTGTCAGAGATCGCGAATAAATGGAGAGGAAGTCATGCTCGTGTCCTGTTTCGATCGCTATTTATTGTGAGATGAGCGCACTGGGACCAAAGACTGCGAAGGGAGAAAAGAGTAGTCAGGAACCAGATTTGACACACTCTGTCTCAACCTGCGTTCATCCACATGGGAGAAAAAAATTGATTACATTTATACAGGCAAATCTTTAATATTCCAAGACCGCTTTACATACCGTTGGCAGAAGATTCGCAAATGAAGCTGCATATATTATAGCACTAATCCAGGATCCTTGGGTTACCAAAACAAGCCAAATTGGCGACCTAGTGTTCCTCTCACCTAATTATTGCTTAAATTAGTTAAAATTCAGTAAGTATATTGTACTAGGAAAAATATTAGATATCTTACTTTCAGGTTTCTGCACGGAAGATATGATTGCAGCTCAGATCACTTATGGAAGGATGATTAGTGTGCTAAAAATACTTTCCAGGTGTTGGAGCAGCCACATATCTTCTCCTAGGGTGATTCGGAAAGTAATTGAACACTGTAGAAGAAATAGACCAAAAGTCATCATCGGCTGTGATGCTACATACATAGCATATGGGGAAGCAAAAGGACCGATGAATGAGGTAAGTACTTTTTTAACTATATTTTATTTAAAGGGTTTATATTAAACAATAAAGGTAATAAACCTTCTTCTATCATTAGGAAAACTTATTGATTAGACGTTATTGATACAACTATAAGTACTCAACAAAGTAGTAACAAAACTACTAATTGACAGGTATCGATAATGGATCTTTACTTTATATACAGATAAACTACTTTTAATGAGATCCGGGCAACCGAAATGTACAAATTAAAAAGGATATCGTTTTTATTTGGAAGCAAAGATAAGAAATAGGATCAATAATACCACAATATATTTAGACATTTAGGAGTTTTATTATCAAATTGAGAAGAGAGGCAATTGTGACATACCAGAAGAACTGCCTAAGCAAAAGCAAGAAGAACAATAAACAAACGCCTTGGTGGAGCAGAATACTAAAAACATCAAGAAAAGAAATAAGGTTGTTATCGAGTAAAGCAAAATAATTAGAGAAGTAGGAAACGTATATAAAAACTCTTACTGAGTACAACAAAGAGATAAAAAGAGCGAAAAAGGAATCTTTATGGAGTTCGGCCCTGATAGCGATTAAATATACCACGTTATCAGCTGTCCCGAAATACAGTCATTTTAAATGGTAAAAACAAATCACAATCTAATATTTTATACCTCTATTACAAGTTTAAGTGCATTAGTTAGTGCTGGATAATATTATCTCAAGTGAGTAGCACTTCTTTCCGTATTATTTTTGTAACAACGACAAAATAACCTTTAAATAATACCTACTTAAAAGATAACAAAAATCCCAGTTGGGTCTTGACCTGTTTTTTGGACCGGCCACAGGACCGGCTTAACTTCTGATCAAGAAAATTAATAAAATGACTTCATACAACAATAATACTACAAACAACTCCACTAAACATAGTTACTCAGATGTCGTAAATTATTTCAAACATACAACAAAACAACAAGCAATAGTTATTTCCAGCATTGAAGGTACAAAAATCCATGATTACGTCGTAGCAGTTGGATCACTAGTGGGTCCAATTAATGTACTTTTTGCCTCCAGAATTGCTAATAATAGGATATGCATATACCTCTCTTCAAAAAACACTCTTGATGCTCCTCTTCATTCTTATAAACATATCGAAATAAATGGATGTCAAGTCGAAGTAAGAAGATTAATTTCTCCAGCCCAGAGACTTCTAATATCAAATGCATGTCCTACAATCCCGAACGAAATAATTGAACAAGAATTACAAAAACTTGGTATTCACACTGTATCCAGAATGACTTTTCTTCGAGTAGGTATGTCTGAAAGTGAGTACAGTCATATTCTGAGCTTTAGAAGGCAATCATTCATAACACCCTTGGAAAATATGTCTATTTCTGACTCTTTTACCATAACTCATGATAATACTTCCTACCGTTTATTTCTCTTCATAGACGGATTCAGTTGCTCCAAATGTAAAACCATTGGTCATCAAGAATCAGAATGCGCTCACATTTCAAACCAAACTAATTCAACTTCCCTCTCAGATTCAACTCAAACCACGTTGTCATTATCTAAACCTAATGAACGTGTGGCTACGAACCCTAATGAAAAAATATATCAATCTACGGAAATCGACCTCATCCAAAACATATCAAAGGATAATAAAAACACTTCGTCCTCTTTCTCCAAAACAACATCACCAGCTGTAAATACCACTGAAAAGACTACAGAAATCGACCTCATCCAAAACATATCTAAAGATAATCCAAACACTTTGTCTTCTTCTTCCAAAACAACAGCACTAGCTGTAAATAACACTGAAAATACTACGACACCAGAAACATCAATAACCTTAAATAATGCAGTCAATTCTAAACAGCTAAAAAGACATAACATATCATCTCCTGAAATTATCGAAGATAACCCAACAACCGACCTATCCATTTTTAATACTCCTAAACAACATAAATCAAAAAAGAAACCCAAAACCTCTTCCAAAACCCCCCCGAAGATGTCATTCACTCCCTAGAATCCATCAAAGACAAAATCGAAAATAGATCACCTCCATTTATACTAAATTTCAATGAAATATGTGATTTTATGGAAAATGTTTTAAACTTTCGTAACCCTAAATTAACTTCCAAAGATTACTCCAATGAACCAGAGGAACTAATTCAGATCCTTAACTTTGTTTATTGTTACACACAAAATTCTAGGTTAAGAAATAATATCACCCGACTAAAGAAAAAAATAAACCCTAACCCTTCTTCAGCTGACGATACTGACGAATCATCACTAGTTGAAGGATAATCAAGGGATGACTAAATCATTTATAGTGCAATGGAACATAAATGGGTTTTATACCCATTATGAACAGGTAAAACTATTAATCGGCGAGCTTTCTCCTTTAATTCTTTGTCTTCAAGAAACCCACTTTAAACAAAATAACATAAATTTAAAAAATTTTCAATGTTTTAATAAAAATCGTAAAACTCAACAAGCTTGTGGCGGAGTAGCTATTTTCACCAGAGCTGATTTGGAAGCTAAACCGATCGCGCTAAGTACTAATCTTGAAGCTGTAGCAGCTGTAGCTATTACCTATCATAAAAAGATTAACATATGTAACATTTACTTCCTACACCCTACTAATCTTGATATGCACGAATTAAATAAACTTATTGACCAAATTCCACATCCTAAATTAATTTTAGGAGATATGAACTGCCACCACCCGGCATGAGGAAGCCACAAAACTGATAAACACGGTAACTTATTGAAAAACCTAATTAATTGTTCAGATTTATTGTTACTTAATACAGGAAATCCAACTAGATTTAATTCTTACAACGGCTCATTTTCCGCCATTGATATATCCTTATGCAGTCAATTACTCTCAACTACATTCTCATGGAACACTTTAAACTCATTATATAATAGTGACCATTTTCCAATTTCTATAACATCAGATCACATTCGTCCCCTTGATTTCCCAATATATCAGTCCTGGAAATTAAAAAATGCAAATTGGGCATCCTATCAATCCTATATCAATGATAAACTTGAAAACTTTTATTTAAGCAATGATATAAACTATGATATCACCTCTTTAAATAATATCATTATTGAAGCAGCTTTAGAAAATATAGGAAAGACAAAACCCTGTAAAAGGCAACCCGTACCTTGGTGGAATAGTGAAATTGCAAAAGTACTCTCATCTTGTAAACATGCCTTTAATAAACTTAAAAAACATAATACAGATGAAAACTTACTCAATTTTAAAAAACTTAGAGCTGAATCAAGATATTTTATGAAAAAAGGCAAAAAATAAACT